ATAATTTTTGTGTCGAAAAACTTGGGCGAAACCTTTTTCGCAAGGGATCTTCCTGTTTGCAAGGGATCTTCACAACCTGTTTTACTCATTTAGCCACAAATCTTGGATTTGAAGGGTTAATTTATGAGAAAAGTCAAAAAACGGTAAAAGAAATGAAAATTTGACTTTTTCGAGGGTCACAACTTCTTGTTTAATGAAATTAGAGCGTAACTTCGTAGTCGTAAATTAGGGGAGTAATACACAACCTGATATACTCAGTGAGTCTAAGATCTCAAGTTTGGGGAGGGTAGTTTTTGATAAAAGTCAAAAGGTTCTGAAAATACCCTCAAAAAATCGAAAGTTTGACTTTTTCGAGGCTCATAATTAAATGTTTTGAAAAATTTGATTAAAGTCTTTCATGCAAGGGTGCTTCTCACATTCCATTCTACCCATGGAGCTAAAAATCTCAGATTTGCGATGGTAGTTTCCCAAAAAAAACATATGCAAAAAACGGTAAGAAATCGAAAATTAGTTTTTTTCCGAGTGTCATAAGTTCTTGTGTGAACAAATTTGGGCGTAACCGTTTGCATTTCTCAAAATTTTTTTCTAACCAATAAATCAAGAATCCTAGTTTTGGAAGGCTATTTCAATTGAGATAAAAATCAAAAAACCCTTTTTCAGGTCAAAATTTTCCCTATATATTTTTTCGAAGGCTGTAGAAAGTGGGGTTTTTGAGAAATGCTAAATTTTTTGAAAAAGTGAAAAAATTTCAAAAGTGTCCTAGGAAAAAAAGTTAAACAAAAAGCCCAATCTCAAAAATTTTTTCAAATACTTGTTTTTATCAAAGAAAAACTAGACGGCCAAACATGTTGTTTAGCAGGTATGGTCAGTTTCAAGGCGAGTATTCAACGAGACGCCTTTGAATGCCGAGGCAGCGTTGGATACCCTGTTTACCTTCTTTGGCTTGTTTGGATTACTCAGCGGGTTGATGTGAAAGATACCAAATTCATTTTGATTGAGGTTATTGATTGCAGTTGAGCTCTTGCTACCTCAAGTTTGTTGGGCATTTTTATTTGTTTTTCCAGAGGAGACTTTTATATTTTGTAGCGATCTCTGTCGTTCTCAATACTTTCTTCCACAAAACTTAGGCGTCTTTTGCATTTATCAGAGCATGTAGCTTTGTTGTCTTTGTGGATGCTTGATCCTTCTTCATTCCAAAACTTTTCCACTTCTTCAGTAGGAGTAGCGTCTTGTTGTTCGGCTAAGTCAATGAGTTTAGTCACATGGTCAAATGCGAACGGACCAGTGACAGTGATTGTCTAACCTATTAGATTTTGGACACCATAGGGGTTGCCTATAGGACTTTTACAGATGACTCCTGAAATCATCAACATCAAATAATTTTTGCAAAACATTGTCGCCTAGATCAGGAAAGTTGACATGTTGAAGAAGGTTGTAGAGTGAGTACGTTCGCTTAAAAGTGTTTGCGTAGATGGCGTCAAAATTCATAGCTCGTACTGAATAGACCGAATGTAGAGTGAAAGTATGCTTGGTAGCATCATGTGGTCCGATACTTAGCCCGGATAGAGGAAAAGACTTTATAATTACTGAAATCTTCTCAAAGATAAGCTGTAGTTGTTGGCTTGGTTAACAATGAAGTGTTTCACTTGTTTTTGACGAGAAGGTACAAGCTCCTGCTACGGTTGTTGAGTTTGGCGGCCTATCACTTTGATTTGATGCAATTAATGAAAAGTATTGCCGGGATAAAATGCAACTGATTTTTGATGTTGCTCATAATTTCCAATGGATCCGTAAGATGTTTTCGTTAGTGTAGTGCTAAGCTGCATTAGCTTGATTTTTGATTGTGCGTTAAAAGGGCCTTTTGTCTTTGTGTAGATTTGAATGTTGAGTGATGCTTACTTCTGCAGTTGTTGACAAAACATCGCTTGGCCGACGTGCTTTCACTAAACCTGTGTTTATCAAGGAACTGAAGCAAATTTTTGGTTGTTTCACTGACTATGCCCGTTAGTCGACAAAATTTATTAAAAGTTTCGGGTTTTTTTTCCAGTATAGTGAGCTTGATTAACTATTGGACATGGTACAATTGTTGTTCTTGTTGATATATCTGTGAAGATCTGTCGCGTTTTCGCCAGGACATAAAAGTATATCAGTTGGTTCGGTTGTCGGGTTGTTGTTGCTTGGACGGGTGGCAGTTTCTTCCGGCTTGGTTTCAAGTCGGTGATTCTAAGTCCAGATTCTGGCATGCTCTGTTATTCAGGTACGGCGTAAAGTCTTTGAGTGTAGCCTATTCGAGGTTGTGCAGCAGACAGTGCTCTTCTCACTTGATAACTAAGCTTACTGGGAGCTTTGAGCAAGCGAGTCAAGTTAAGTTACTAGAATGCAGGCGAGCTGTGTAGCCGCTGATTTTGAAGTTAAGAATTAGTTTCCGTAGAAAAGCTGCGTACTTGGTAAAACCCTGTGGTTCAGTCAGTTTCAACTTGTCAAACTTTTCTATTTCTCTATGAAAGCTGTCATCACTTATTTTGGGTTACAGCATCTACGCAGTTGTGCAATTATTGCCTGCTCGTACTGATAAGAATTGCTTTGTTAAACCTCTATGAAGGACTAAGCGTTATTACTACGTAATGACTGCAAATAGGTAGCTTTCTCAACAGGGCTTCGATGAGGGCTGTTGACTTTTGCAGTATGAAAGAGTTGGAACCAGTTCTCCGACTCCAGTGAGTTGCCGTTAAGATCCTACAATTTTGCATCCGGGAATTTGATTTCTTTTCGAATGTCATTGATGCCAGTAGTCGGACATGAGGCTAGTGTGATTGCGTACTTCTTGTATGTTGGTCGCTGAAGTTGTTTGCAGCGTACTGCTCATTTGTAGTAACAGGACTGTTCACGATTGGGATTGTTGGTAGACCATATTGGCTATTGCCAGTTGACATCAGGTCTTCATGTGTCAAGTTCTCGTTTAGAATGGCATTTGCAATAAAATCTGGTAGAGTTGAAAAAAGTGTCTTTGAGGGGCGCAAAAGTTGAAAATATCCAGGTTTGCAGTAGGTTAGAATGAGCTGAAATCAGTAGTTAAAGCAGCGGTGACACCGTTTATGTCCTGGTCTTTAGCACTGTCAGTTTCTAGTGGAGGCGAGAAAAAAAGAGCGGAGCATAATGGAGCGTCTAAGTTGGAAGTATTAAAACCATAGGTAAAAATTTTGCTTTAAAATGTGGGCAGCCGTATTACTGATGACGCTCTTGAGCAAAATTTCAGTATGTATGAGCTCCTTACTGGTTCAAGGGCTGTTGAAGATGTGCCCTGCACTCCGATTGGGCTGCTTGACCTTACACAAAGGAAGCTTTAGTTTTTAGGACCTTTTTTTATTTCGAATTTTAATTTTAAAAAAAGGTCGCATTTTTGTTTTTGTGGCGTGGAAGCAATGTCGAGGCAGCCTTGAGCTTCTTGAGTAGAAAAAGCGGCTCAGCCGTCTGCGAGTTTATCGAACAGATCGAAACAAGGGTTAACTCCTCGAAACTAAGCTAGACCCATTCATTTTTACTTGAGACGGCTATTTGCTCATTACCTCATCCTTAAGCTCCTCGAAAGTACTGTAGCAGCGTTGGTTAAGGAGCTGTTGTAAGTTTGGTCTCGTTGAAGGCATTGAAGAAAGTAGCTGAATTAATAGCAGTTAAGTAAATTGAGTATGAAAAAGAAAATACTAGGTCAGATGGCAGCAATCGGTAAGCTTTTCCGATAAAAATAACTTATTGAGCTTTCTTGAAAGTTTACTATCAGTTACAATTACTCTTTTTGTTTTTTTCCTTTTCTTAGGTCAACCAGTTATAGTGTTAACCCGGTGGTTAATTATTTAAAATGAGTTACAGCTCACTCCTTCGTGAGCGGTTTGAATTATGGTTAAAGATTGAGCGGTGAAACTAATTTTTGATTTCAATTGAGTTAGAAAACTTGAGAATGTCTAATTTTTCTGTAAAGGTTTTTCAGTATATGGTTAGTACGGCTTATATCGGCATCTGAAAGAGAATTTCTAAATTTTCGTAGATAATTCTCGGATATGCTTAAAAAATCATATTACTTATGACTTAAGGAAAACGTTACGGAAAGGAAATGCTTTTAAATTTTTTAAAACAAAAGTTTTGGACTAAAAAAGTTTGGCTATCGGGTTTGGTCTATTAGTTTTTTGCATGCCGGTAAAACTTTTTTTCATTAAAAACTTTCTTGGTTCCCGAGGATTATAAGCTTTTTCAAACTAATTTGAGACGAAGTACAAAAATCTAGCACACTTTTTGTGGCAGTGAAATTTTTTCTTTAATGTTTTTATCGAACATCACTTTTTAAACTTTATAGCACGAATTTGATTGTACTGAAGTTTCAGCACAAATGCGTCCAAGAGCAGAAACACAAAAAAAAATCAGCTTTTACTGATTAATACGGGCAAATTGATAAAAACAATTATCAGAATCGTCAATAATACCAAGAAAATGTATAAGTTATCAAAAAAAATTTTCCTTGATTTTTTTTAAAATCTCGATTAAATTATTCAAATTATGCATAAATATTAGTTTCTTTGGACATATTGACCAGCTTCTAAAGTTCATATTTTTCTGTTTCTCTGCCCTTGGACCCATTCTGCTCTTAGACTATTCTGCTTATTGACTGGCCACCCTTCATCTCATTTTCAAAAATGCCAATGCTCACTCAAACAATTTCCCCATCCTTCTTTGTTTGATAGAAACCCTAGAAAAAGGTTCGGAATTCATGGCGGGTGGTGAAAACAAAACAAGGACAAGTTATTCAGCACTCCTTCTCTTTGTTTTAAAACTTCATTGCGACAACTTGAATAACTTTCCATAATGGCATCATTTTGATGTTCAAATTTCTCCCTTCCCAGCTTTGATTCAATTATGAGAACCTTTATTTAACATGCGTCAAATCTACATCATTTGCAACTCGATACAGGATGTAGAGAAAGAGTTTAGGCGTTGGAGTTTACATTTAGCCCTATTTGCCTTTCAAATCATTTGGTAAACGATTCACTTTGCAACTCTTTATATTCTTGGCTTAATGCAACTCATCGGAAAAATGTCGATTAGTTTCTCAAATAACTGTTTAAAATAGACATTAAGGTTAATTGTCTCCATATTTTCGAATTTAATTAATCTACGTTTTACTCCCCGGACTCAAGTGGTGGACGATTGCAATGACAACAAAGTTAGTAATTATGAGCATAAATGAAAACTGAGCGTAAAAAAGCATTAATTTTGACGTTTTAGAGTTATTTCTTGCTGACAAATAATCAATTTTCAAAAAAAAAATTCGCACAAGTTCCTGAGAAAGTGACTTTTTTTACCTCTTAATTGACTAATGAGAGAAAAGAGAGTACTAAAACCAGCCGAAGTATAAACCAACCGAAAGTCCGCGGTGTCTAAAAGCCAGCCTAAAAGCTACATCATATGAATGAATTTGCATAACTTTTTTAACTGTTACATAAATGTTACAAAACTATTACATAACACTTATGTATTTTCGGCTGTTTGATACTTCGGCTGGTTTAGATACCACCCAGACATAAATCTGGGGGAAAATATGAATACAAAAATTCTGGTGACTTTCTTACATGGGGTCAAACTTTCAATACCTCAACTCAAGTACTGTTTGGGAAATTGGACTTCAGTTTAAGAAATTTTATCTGAAACCTCTGCAGATAGAGCACTTCTACATTATGTGGCCAATGAGGAACTCGGTGACATCAATCCTTAATTTTGCGAAACATCTAAGCAGCCTAAATATAGAGATCCTGAGACAGAACAGACCATAGATTTTTTTCCCACCTCAAAACTGTTTTACCTGTATTTTTTATTGAAAAGTTATGAAGGTTTGAAAATGGCCAATTTGACTAAATTTGCCAATTAATGCATTAGAATTTTCGTGCTATTAACGCATAAGCTAATTAATCCGCTCAAAATTGTTCCTAATTGAACTGTGGCAAATTATTTGAGGCTTCAATTAATTGCTAGACGCGGAAGACATCTGGGCGGAAAAATTTTCAAAAAAATCGACAAAAAAAAATTTTTATTAAAAAAGTTTATCAACTTTTTTGAATTGACGTGTTCCAATACTATTCGACCCCTATATATTAGTCAATATATAATAACTTTAAGGGGGGAGCGCGCGCCGAAGAAACACAATTTTTTGGTCAAAATTTTCAAGAAAGTGCCTAAAAACGCCTTTTTGGACTGTTTTTTCAAAAGTTTGCCTGCGGCGCAGAATTTTTGGCCAAAACAGAGTCTTTGTAGTGCTTTGGGAGAGCTCGGAAAATCAATTTTGTCCACCTTAAAAAAAGTTGACAAAATTTTCGAAATTTACTGAAAATCCCCCCCCCCCCCCCCCCCCCCCCTCGAGAAACTCCTACATTCATCCTTGCTTGGAAACCACTAAGATTTTTGATTATATCAGAATGACCTTAAAAATCTTGTAATGTGCATTTCAAATGCTCAAATTGATTTAAAAGAGCCACCATCTGGTCTGTATCTTCAAAAATTTCAAAAAAATTAGAATTCAAAGACGGAAAAACGCTGAAAGTAAATTGGATTGTTTTAGTAGGCCATTATCCCGAATATTGCGACACCCTTTTAAAATTTTTTGTTTTTTTGTTTAGCAGCTTTCTGTGAAAAAAAATGAAAAGTTGTAATTTTTCCATTTTGAGATTATTTTTTATCTATATGCAAATTACTCGCGCAGTAAAAAACTTTTCACTTAATACTTGGATAAGTTAATTACAAATTTTAATTGATTTTTGAGTCGGACTAATTTATCGCATTCGCTACGTGTTAACAGAAAATGAGTTTTGCGCTAATACTTTATCGCAAATTGATCACATCAGGAAATTTCAAAATTATGTTTTTCTAACAAAAACGGTCTCAGGTGCAATATGAGCTTGAAACATTGACTGTTTATCCCTATGAAGTATTATAACTGACAAAGAGAGCTTAAAATGGTATGAATAAGTTCGTCTTCTATCGAGGAACAGAGTAGAATCTAGACGCTTATCGTTTCCGTAGAATGTGGTAAACTGAAAACGAGCCAACAAAAACTTGATAGACAAAATGGAAGCTTCAACAACATAGATGTTAACATTGTCAACTTTCTGCTGTGACACAACAGTTAGCGAAAACAAAAATTAATGCAAGCAAGGTATTTTATATAAAAAACACAATTTTATTGAGAAAAAAAAAAACACCATTTCATTGAGCATACTGTTACAAACCTAGTTACTTGTGTTTTCAAAATTTTAGTTAAAATGAATCAGAATATATATATATATATATATATATATATATATATATATATATGTATATATATAAATATATATATATATATTCTGATTCATTAAAACGCATATATATATATATATATAGTTCGGAGTTTTTCATTTTGAGGGAAAAGGAGGAGTTTTTACCATTTCTGGGATAATTTTTGAGATATTTTTTACTGAAATTCAAACACGACTGGAAACGTTTGGTTACAATATACCAATCAACTGCTTCATGCACTTCTTTGTAGTGCCTTAATTTGCGCGGCAAAAAAGCTATATAAAAAGGTCTTCTTGAGCCACGTCGGTCGGAGCAATCAGTTTTTCACCAGTTTTGAACAAAATCAGACTAGATAAAAATTTGGCTGACAATGATTTTTCATCATACCCAGAAATACAACAGAAACCAAAAAACTGATTATTGCTAAGCTGTACTGTCAAAGATTTCAGAGTTAAAATAAAAGAGCAATAATTTTTTTCAGTTAATATGTTTTAAATAATAAATTCGCTTGAAAATATCTAGGATATGCTTTCTATATTTACAACCACTGTGCTTAAGGAAAAAAATATAATGAAACATTCATGTGCTCTCAGAATCTTGAAAAGCTGTGGAAATGATTAGTTCTCATTAACTGTAGGCAGCGGAGGGTTCAAAGCAGAAGGGTAGCAGGCAGAGATTCCCGATACCTGTAATACCAAACAAGAAAAATTTAAGCTAGCGGACAAAAATTAGGCGGAAGACATTAGGTAAAACGATTACAAAAATAACGCGCAAATTGAATCTGCAAGAATAGCAATTGCTTGCTTCGATGGTTGATCAATTTGAGTAAAGCATGTCTAGAAACAAATTCGCTAGCGTTAAATAAGCATTCAGGAAAAATTTCTATGTAAAAATTTTGAACAAAAATTTTGAACAATTATTTTTTTGAAACCCTCACCTCGGGAAACCCAAAAGAGTAACAATTTAATTTTTCTAAGCAACGCAATACCAGGCGAATCAGCTAATTTAATACATGTCAAAACGAATAAGGTCAATTAAACATAAAAAGCATTAAAAAAAATTAAAGTTGTTCAAAATCATGGTTGGTAAATTTACAAAATACGCAAATAAACCGAAAGTCCGCGCTGTGGCAACTAAGCGGTCAATAGGCGGACAATCTTTTTCAAACGGAAATTTTATTTGGTTTGTAACAAAACCAGGTCGTGGTGAAATTAGTATTCAGGCGTTACGTCAGGAGACGAAAAAGTTCCTGAATACAAACATTTCGAAGGCAAGTATTTTAAATTTATAAGCTAAATGTTCGAAAATATTCGATAATTCTGTCAGAAAAATTGTTTTCATAGCAAAAAATCCAAGTTCCAATTTAATAAAGTTTGATTTTTAGAAGCGTGATCTCATTATCCGAATACATGTAGCCCGAAAATTATCTTGAATTATCATATTTTTTGAGTTGTGCGTATTGAAACAAGTTTTCGGATTGACTCGTTTGACTTGAAAATCATGAACATGAAAATACATTCAATTGTCTCATACGAGCAGTCTTGTATTGAATGGTTTTAGCTATTTTTGTCTGAGTACGTTATTCACAGGAAAAATTTTATGCAAAGGTAAAGTTTTTTTAGGCAGAAATATCCCACTGAAAAGCAGGCGCTTTCCCAGATAGAACACACAGCCTCCGAGATCAAATCCCATTTGAATGAGCAACTGAAAACAATCGACGCCTATGTGAGCAACCATGCGACAACGTGCAATGACATCAAAGATTTCCTCAAGAAGAAAGCCGAGTTGGATTCCGAATACAGCAAAAAGTTGGAAAAACTCACAGACCAGCACATTTCAAAGCTCAACCAGCAACTTTCAGCAGGTGACTGCAAAAAGAGCAGCAAGGAACCAGGCACCAAAGGCTTCAATGGGTTCCAACAGTGTTTCGCCGCATTACTCAATATCTCCAAGCAAGCGAGCGTCGATGTCGGCAATGAGTCATACTTGATGGGTAATTATTTCACAGAGCACGTTGTCGCTGCTGCTACAAATTTGAAGCAAATACATGAACAAAATAGAACAGTTTTGATCAAAGCGCAGGAAGATTTTCAGATAAACGTAACTCAATTACTGGGCAAAATGAAAACATATCAGCAGAGTCATGCAGCGCATCGTAATGAATGCGTGAAATTCGAAGCAGCATCGGCAGAATTTGACAAAGCGAAATTGGCGGGCGAATCGAAAGGAAAAACGAGTACTGCTAAAGTAAAAAGTGCAGAAAAGAAACGAGTCAAGTATCAAGCTACTCGCGACGAGACTTTCGGCAATCTGAACCAGAGAAGAAATGAATACTTGATGGAAATCGAAGCTGTTAATAATTTTGTTGATAATATGTACAGCAAAATAGCTCCTCAAACTGTGCAGGCTTCATTTCTGGGTCATTACGAATGGTTCCACAGCCTCTTCCATACACTGAATGGAATAAAAGAGGAAAACATAAAACGGAAGCTTGAAAAAATCGAGGAGTTTAGGACTGTTTTGACAGATTTGAGTGACAGCAAAGATTTTTCGCGCTTCATGGAAAATCATATCAAAGTTTTTCTACCCAAAGATAACTTCAAATACATATTTGTTCCACATGCTGTGAAAAGTGCGAGGGACGCAATTTCGAATCTGAGCCTCGATCTTGATCTGAAACAAACGTTTGATGATCTCAAGACTTCTATTGCCTCAGCCGACGGGAAAATGATCGAATCCGAAAGCGATTTAAGAATTGAAAACGAAGAAATTCTAGAAATTGCACATAAGTTTTACTTAGAAAGTGCCACGTCGCAAATTATTTACTCGCTTTACCCGAGTCGCGATAAAGCTCTAGAGTTCCTGAGTCAAAACTTCAATGAAAACATGAAACTATTCCGCGAACATCAGAACTCATATCTCCAGAAAAACATGGCAAAAATGCCATTGGAAAATGAGTTAACAATTTTACAAGGAAGAAAACACGCGATTGAAGATAACTTTGGAGCTGACATAAAAGTCAACGTGGGATCCTATAAATCCGTAGCCAGGGCTTGCAGTCGCCCCGCGTACCGTGCTCGACCCGTAATCAGACCAAAGTCTAGAATAATTGCACCCCTGTTTGGGGGTCAAATCGACAACTTTTGCATAGCCGCACAAGTTGATGTGCCTACAATAGTGACAGAGTGTATACATAAAATAGTCAGCACTCCTGGAGGACTCACACACCCTGGACTTTTCAGACTCAGTGGATCTCAAGGTGAAGTGAACAATCTGAAGACTTGCTTCAACCAATCTGAAAACCCTTTCGAAGAGGATGAAGGTAAAGAGTGGGGATGGAACAATATTGCAGCAGTTCTTAAATTGTATTTCCGGGAACTGGAGGAACCTTTGTTTCCAAAAAATGGTTTCCTAGAATTAATTAAGATCTTCGAATCGAGACCTCTAAGTGAATCACAATTCTTATCTAAACTGACAGGTTTTGTGACATCTTTGAACGCCAACGTCATGATTACGATGCGATATTTATTCGACTTTTTAAACTATCTTGCCAAATTTTCGGACGAAAATAAAATGAATGAGCACAACTTGGCTATAGTTTGGGCGCCAACGTTGCTTCCGATACCGGATGAACAGAATCAAGTGATGTATCAAAATATAACTACTGAACTGATTGAAGTTTTCATAAAGCAGACGCAGCAAATATTCCCAAGAAATTATGGCACCTTGTTCAAGTTTGGAGAGGGCCGACAGTTAGAAGAAAGTGGGAAAATGGAAGTTTCAGAGGAGTACGACGACGTTGCTTCTGGCAATGACGATGACTCACTGTACGGAGTCAGTAATTCGAACATGAGTTTAGCTTCTCCAAGCAGCCAAGACTTGTCGGAGAGGAACCAGACTACCGAGTCATCGGAATCCGGTGAGTTTCTGGATCTACATCGCAGAATATCAGTTCCAGCATCACCAGTTATCAAGGATCCCAGTCGGGCAGCTTATACGCGTTCGTTGTCTATGTCTGTTGTAGTTCCACCGGGATCCTCGAGAGCTTTGATGAACCCAAGTCCGCTCTTGGAAACGGGTAAAAACCCACAGTTTAAATCTGTCGACATTCCAATGGAAGAACCTGCCATAGACCCTGTTCAGACATCGACAAATGAGGAGGCACCTGTCTCAATGGGCAAAGATGATGCTGAACCTAACAAAGCGCCTACGCCAGCAGTGAGAAGAAAATCAAAACCAACCTTGCTGGATGTTACGGAAGAACCAATTATTGTCGTGCCTGAAAGAGAACAATCGATGCTCTATAAAGATAAGTTTTGATGACAAAAAGTTAAACAAAAATTCATTTAAAATTTCAAAATGACGTTAGAGTAGAAAATATAATAAAACATTTTTATGTTTATTCACCAAATTCTCATCTGAAATTTTTTTTCAACAAACTTGTATAACTCAGTAATATTTTTTTGAAATCCAAAACTATGATAGCATGTTTTGCTCTAAAAAAGTCAAGAAAAACTGAGGTTGGCTGTGCATCCAAAGCAAATTCAATTTAAGTGGGCAACAAATCGTTTCGATCGTTAAGTTATGAAAACTCGGCAAATAGTAACGACTAAGAACATGATGATTGTCGATTCAACGTGAAAATCACCATGATTTTGAGATGGTCAAAAATCATAAAATCACTATTTATCTGTAGCACAGTAAACAAAAACCAAATGGCAGCTTCAAATACAATAGTTGACTAACAAACTAACTGAAGCGCTGTTGGACACCGGTTTGCTTGTACAATTTATACTTTGCGCCAAACCGACTAAAAGTAACTTGAAAATCTTTAATTAATTGGAGTGTATTTATTAACAGAAAATCAACATAAATTTGCATTGTACTGTAGAATGGCCGTATTGGATCTGACGTTAAAATATAGATCTTGATTTACTACTTTCAGTCTGCTAAAACAGACAACAGTTTTCATATTCAAGACTAACTTTTTCAGATAGTTTGCGGTTCCTGACATGATAAAATCTTTTTTATAAACCTTGATTTTGACTGTTGTTTGTTTTGACTGTCGAACTTGAGTTTAAGAGTCTGCTTGGGAACCCAGCTCAAGCGGCGCAATTGTCGTAGTACTAGTAGTTTCCGAATTCTCGACTATACGGTTCGGAGTCTTGACCATGTCGAACCATATAAGACAATCTTGCACACTTGTCGACTTCGGGGGCGCCGATCGGGTTCGCATTCGGGCTAGCTTCGCTGTCTCGTTTTGCTTATTTGGGTTTACATGCCGCGCTGTCATTGGGGGAAGATCGATTGGTTTTGGTTGAGTCACGACACTAGTTGCAGCGGGCGTGAAATGAAAACGACTGTTCACTGGATTGGATCCGTAGGATAACCTATAAGTAGAGTTGACCTTGGATACATCCTTTGCTGTTTCAGGCATGAACACTTTGCGAATGGGGGTAGGCGATCCGCCCGTGTATGTTGTCTGGTTGACTGAGATGAACCCCTGGTCGATGTTTCGCTCCCCCGCCCAGTTGAAGAAGTCAGGCTGGTACTTGCTTGCACATCTGGTTTCTATTTTTTTCTTGCCCACACCCTTAAATAGTTCAGAATCCCTATCAATAGTCACTATCAATGGCACGTAATTAAATTAACTTCACATTATTTTCAGCGATGAAGTTTGATTGAGCTGAAGCAAGATGAATTTATGATTTTAACGAGTTTTGTATAATGCAATGGTATCCTTAAAAAACAAGGATCGCCGGTTGCTGTGCAAGCAGCTCAGAATGTTCCGACCACATTCATTTATGAAACAGCAGAACCTATTTTTTGTTCCTATTTTTGCAATTTCCAGTTAATTTTTTCTAGAAAATGCGATTGACTCAGGTGAAGAAGTATTAGCCTAATTGTTGTGATAAACTTATTAAATAGTTTCAGAGACAGAGATGTCTAACGCAAATCAACCAATTGGAAATGATGAACAGCTTGAGGTATCCGAGGAAGCAAATCTACCGAACCTGAGATACCAAGATCAGACTCCGATACCAAAATCATTATCAAACCCGAAGAGACCAAATGAAGTTATGAGTCCATTAAACGAGCAAGAAAGTAAGAAGCAGAGTATTGACATAGAAGAAGCTGTCGAAAATGCCATCAACACAGCACTCCCAAAAATTCTGGAAAAACTAAAACTTGATTTGAAGAACGAATTGCAGACAGTCATAGGAAATGCAATAAGAGCCGAATGCGCAAACCTTAAGAAAGAAATTTGCGAAGAGCTTAACGACGAAATGAAAAACAGCGAACTCAGAAGTACCTTAAGGACCCTGTGCGAGACTGAACAGCAGGAAACATACAACAGACGTGACAATATTCGAGTACTGGGAATAAACGAAACTAGTAGAGAGCAGCCTGAAGAGACAATCAAGAAGATTATATCCATCTCTAAGGAGATTAATGCAAAGGTAGAGGAAGGCGATATTTCAATTGCTCATCGATTACCAGCCAAAAATGTAGCAGCCCGCCCTATCATTGTGAAGTTCTCCAGGCGCATAGCCAAAGTGGAAATTATGAGGAAAAAAAAAACCTTGCGAGACAAGCCCACCACTGAAAATGTTAAAGTATTTGAAGACATCACCAGAGCACGAGTGAAGTTTCTGAAGCTTATGAAAACTGACAAGCGCATCGCATCAACATGGACCAGAGAGGGCATGATTTTATACACTTTCCAAAATAATGATCAAGTGTATAGATATCAAAATATTTTCCATGCTGCATCAGATCTTGGTTACAGTTTCAATGACACCATGAATTGTTTTCGTGACTGATAATGTGAATCCCTCAATTGTGCTTAATAATGAATTATCCCAAATTACCTGTTATAATAATCAATCTGGTCATAAAGCGGATTTCTTTAATTTTTCTGTGCTACACCTAAATATCATGTCTTTAAAACCACACTATGAAAAATTGGAAGCACTTATTTTAAGGCTTGAGTCTCCACCTGATATAATTTGTTTAAGCGAAACATGGCTAAATGAAACAGATGAAGGTAAAATTTACCTGATAAATGGTTATAACCAATGCCTTATGCAAAATCGAAATGGCATGAGAGGAGGAGGAGTGATGGTTCAGGTACATAAAAACTGTAATTTACTGAAACAACGAGATGTCACATTTGAAGAGGCTTTATTCGCGGAGGTCGAAAAAAACAATTACAAATTAAAAATAGCCGTCATCTACAATCCACCAAGAATAAACAAGTTACTCTTTACTGACAAACTTGAACAGTTTCTTGAAGATAATAGCACACATTCTGACCCTTTCATTGTATGTGGCGATTTCAATATAAATACACTGCAAGAAAATCAACTCACCATTAATTACCTGAACGCTATAAACTCGAATGGGTTTGAGTATTTTGCATCAGAACCTACTCGTGTATCATTAACAACATCAACTTGTTTAGATCACTTCATCTATCAAAATATTGCAAATCCCAATTCCACGGTGTTAGAACAAGAAACTATATCAGACCACTATCCAATCCTCTTAGATTGGTCAATAAAGCAATGTAAAAAAGATATATCGATAACATTCCGTGATACATCTTTTCTGAGGAAGGCTTCAAAATGTAGAGAATTTGAAAATGAATTACAGCGTGTGTTAAGTGAACAGGAAGAAATTCTCATGGGTACCGAAGATCCCAGTGAGTCTTTTAATTTATTCAAATGTATCTTTGAAAATGTCCTAGACAAATTCGCTCCGCTAAAGGCAATTTCACCAAGAAGCAAAACTCAGCCACCATGGTTCAACAATGATCTTAAAAATCTGCGAAATAAGCGCAATGCAGCCCATCGAAGATGGAAAAATAATCCTGAAAATCCAGAAACCCTAGTGAATTTTAAAAAACAAAGACAAAAGTTTGAAAACGCCGTTAAATGCAAGAAAAGAACACATTACATGAATAAATTTAGACATTGCATTGGAGACTCAAGACAAACATATAAGTTACTCAATGAATTAAATTGTAAGAACTTAGCCCAATCAAATATTCCTGTTCTAGATTCATGCCTTCAAGTCCAAGAAAATCCATCTAATAAAGATATTGCTGACAAATTCAATGATTTCTTCACTAACATTGGAGAGAATTTGAAAAAAGAGTTGCCTAAAATAGATCCACCATGCTTACCCAAATTAAATCACTCCATGTTTCTTTTTAAGGTAACAGAACCAGAAATACACCAAATCATCTCTCAATTGGACGATAAATCGACATCTGGGGATGATTACGTCAGTAACTTAATTGTCAAATCTTCTAAAAATGCTGTTGCTCCTTTATTAACAATACTTATTAATGCGTCTTTTTCTAAAGGTGTTTTCCCTTCCGAACTTCGTAAAGCCAAAATTGTTCCAATCCACAAAGAAAAATCGCGGCGAGATGAAAACAACTATCGGCCAATTTCTTTACTAATAGTTTGGAGCAAAATCTATGAACGCGCAATGCACAACAGATTATATTCTTACTTTGAAAATTTATCCCTTTTATACAACAAACAATTCGGCTTTAGAACCAAACATAGTACAATAGATGCAGTAGCTGAATTGACAGAAAATCTAAGAATGAGAAGTCATACAAATGAAATTTATAGTTTTTTCTTGGATCTTAGGAAAGCCTTTGATACTCTCGATCATCAAATACTACTAAATAAACTGGAATCTTATGGTATAAGAGGAAATTGTAACCGGTGGTTTCAGACCTACTTATTTGAACGGACTCAACGAGTTTTAGTAAATGGACAATTCTCTGATTGGAAGAAAATAACATGCGGTGTTCCTCAAGGCTCGATACTGGGACCTTTGCTTTTCCTAATTTACGTAAATGACCTTCCATCAGCATGCAAATCAGTTGAAGTAACACTGTTTGCAGATGACACCAACCTGACGGCAATTGGTTGCCAAATAACTCAAATTAGAGAAGATATTGGCAAGCTGGATCGTTGGCTTCTCGCCAACAAGTTAATAGTTAATAGTGATAAAACAAATCAAATGAATATAAAAAGTGCTTCCAATTATCGCTTCAAGCTTAATTCTTCTAACATTATACTAAAACCCGTATGCAAATATCTAGGAATTTATATAGATTGTAAGTTATCTTATCAAACTCATATTAATAATGTTAAAATGAGACTCGGTAAACAATGTGGTATTATATCAAAACTGAGGCATTACGTGCCGCTTTCACAATTACTAGAATACTACAGAAGTAATGTTGTTCCTATAATACAATACGGAATTCTGATTTACGGTTGCTGCAGTCGAAGTTCACTGGAGTGTTTATTTCTTTTACAAAAGAAAATAATTAAATTTATGTTCTTTCGAAAGAAAATGTACTCCTGTAATGACATTTTTCTTAAATACAATTTTCTATCGGTTTTCGAATTGCATGTATACGAATTGCTCAAATTTGTTCTGCGCTCAATTAATTCGTTTCATTCAGAGAGTTTCCTTAACAATTTGTTTGTTTTTAATAATCGGCAGAGACAAACAAGAAACTCAAAATACAATTTACTATTAGAACCTCTTTGCAAGAAAAGATTTGAACGTTTTTCTATCCGATATCGTGCTTGCAAGCTTTTTAACTTATTGAGACTGCAAAATATAATTCCTGAAAATATTGAAAGTTTTTCTGAGACAAAAGTAAAAGTGTTTTACCATAATTTCAAAAATACATTTTTGTTGCAAAACGACGAACTAACAAAACTTATCTACGATTTGTAGTACTTTTTCCCTTTTTCCTTTTTTCTTTAAAATGATTATCGTTGGTTAAATGCTACCAGGCAACTGCTCTAGCTTCCGATTCTCGTGCTAAAATATGAAGCTCTAAATCCTTGTAGTTCAGGAGATATGGCCATTTTTACGATTTTTCGAAAAATATTAAACACTTAGTAAAAAAAAAAAAAAAAAAGAAGAAAAGGAAAGGAGAAGGGGAAAAGAAGAGAAAAAAGAAAAAAATTATTTTTCTTAAAAATTATTTTAAAACTCACCTGCGACCGTGAACCTGGTTGTCTTAAGTTAAAGTTGATGGGCTCTTTCAGTAACGCCAACAAAAAATCTTAACTTACGGAAGAAAACCTACTTCAAAACTTTTTTTTTTTTTTTTTTCAAATTTCGTTTTTTTTTTTTTTTCATTAAATATTAGTGTTAAATCTTTATGTTTGAACAACTTAAGGGTAGACCCTGGAGGACCTTTAGGTCCCGTTGTCTATCCTCTCTAAGTCGCATCATTTAACTTAAATTATAAATATATTCAATGTTGTATTTAATGCTGACTAGAGAAATAAATTCTTTCTTTCTTTTCTTTAAGTAACAAAGAGCGGTAACTATAGTTCTAGTAGATTTTAAACATGGGAGCTCAGCCTCTCACCAAATCGGATCAGTTTTTTTTTGACACTGAGATTACTTTTTTGATTTTTTAAGAATCTGAATCACGGCTGATAGTTCTTCAACTGATTATCACTTTTGACTCCGTACGAGCTTTCCTTGAGGTAAAAAAACAGACTCTAATCCGCAGATCGTTTCCACTCTTCGAAAGTA